CCGTTTCCTGCCATGACAGTGGATCTTTCGGTTTAATTACCCCACGCCTAGTAGTTGTTTCTGGCCTGTGCGCAACTCCAATTCCAAGCGGAGTGAGAAGGCGGCTGACTGCTTCCGATACATTCTTCACGTACGGAAGAGCAGGTCAAACTGTTGGGCCGGTTGGATTTGGATTTCTGTCTCGTCTGCGTATGCACTGGTTGACAAAATTGCACGGGTAACCATTCGCTCCCAGTATCCATCGAAGATATTCGGCAAATTTGTCTTTCACTTTGCTTTAATGCATCTCAACGCGCTGGTATAGCGCTCTTACGCAGCTTTGTTTGTGACTGATCGGGTGGTAGCTGTTGAAGTTCAGGACTTGCATTGTTTTGGGCGCTTTCCTAAACACGTAAGTTTTTAGGCCATCACAGTCTTTTCGGCAAACGAGGACATCCAGAAAGGCTAGCTGGTTGTTTTCTCCTTCCTCCATAGAATGTCCGGCAAGACGGCGTTTATGGCTCGTGGTCTCTGTTTACGGACTTTTACGTGTTGAGGATAGCATTTGTTTCTTGGGCCTGTTTCGAGTGCGCCTGACGTTTTCGGCGACTGATTAGTCTCGCCAGTTGGGCTGCTGGCATGAATTTCGCTTATTGCCCGCAGGCTAACATCGCTCGTTCTCTGGCCCCACCGCCCACCCGTAGGCAAAGCATAGATGCATTCGTCGCCGGCTGCTGGCATGGTTTTGCACTCTTGACCACCGGAAAGGTCGCATGTTCTCTGTTTGACTAGTTATTTCTGAAGTGCGTTATTGTCGCCCAGCCTACGCGGCAGGACAACAACCAGATTTTCAATTGTTTGTGCCAATTGGGACGTTACAGGGGAGCAAGGTATTTCGTAAGCTCACGGGTGGACATGCCGGTTAGTGACTAATGGACTTATTAGGAATAATCGAAACCTACTCTTTTGTGTATATTAAGAGGAATTTCCCTCAGTCGCATTCCTTCGTAACTATTTTGAGAGTATGATTACGACGAGGTTTCGATCCTGCTAAACACTTTATAGTTTTCAGTGATTTTACTCGATTGTCGATAAATATCTATTTTGTTCCACCCTTTTACCAAAAAATCAAAATAAGATATTTTTTTAAAAAGAATGTACCTGAGTAATGAGTTTTTAAACAGTCTTTATTATGCAGCTGTCTGTTTGGGCCATGGTTTTAGGATCACCCAAACATGTGAACTCATTGCCGAGAAAAATGAACATCCACAACAAAAGTCAGATATTAATATGTCTAAGACCAATTAAAAGGCTTTCGCAAGCAAGTTAGCCCTTGAAATGCCAGTCTTCTTACATATTTCGGCTTCAGGTTTCTGCGTAGTTTACCTTTTTCGAAGTGAAGATCAAAATGGCATAGTGCGGCCGGTTTTTTGACTTCCCTGAGCATCCAAAATAGGCCGTTTTGCGGTTTATCACGTATTATTACGTTGTTTAGAAATCACAGCTTTTTTTAGGAAAGCGAAAAATTCCGAAAAAGTAATAATCGAACGTACTAAGTAAATTTAAGTTTTAAATTTAGAGAAAGTCTGTCCATGCAAAAAAGAGTAAACAAAACAATACCAGTAGAATTCCGTTGGAAAATAGTCGTTTTGTCAAATTTTCGGGTAAATATGCTTCCACATTACGTGCAAGGTAACTTATGTTTGTCACTCAACAGTCCAAAGTTCGGGTAGGTGTTCCACCATGGTTTCGGGAGAATTGGTAGTTGTTTCTACCGTTTATAAATTGTTGGATTTACGGTGGACGAAGGCAATCAGATTTTCGCTTGTTTACGCCAATTGGCAGGTTGAACGTGTTAGATATTTCGTGAGCTCCCGTGCGGACATACCTGTCAGTTACTAATAAATATAAATGAATTATCATGTGCAACCTTAAACGTACCATTTTGTAAGTGAAATTTCCTTCCATCATTGCAATTATTTCGGGATTGAAATGGGGGTTAACACTTCATGATTGCCAGATCGATGGTCCATAAATAAAGATTATGTTCTACATGCTTACCAAACCCTTCAAAATAAGATATTTCTTAAAAGAATTTACTCAAATAGCGCGTTTTCGGGCTTTCTTAAAAATGCACCGGTCTGTTCGGGTCATGGTTTTAGAAGCACCCAAACGCGTCGAATCATTGATGAGAAAATAAGCGTCCGCAAAAAACGTCAGATCTTAATATGCCTAAGATCAATTAAAAGGCTTTATATAAAAAGAGTTACCTCTTGAAATATCGCTTTAGTTAGATAGTCCGGCGTCAAGTAGCTGCCTAATTCACTTTTTTGAAGATTAAGTCGAGATAAAAATGACAACGTGTGAGCAGTTTTTTGATATCTCTGAGCAGAAGAAATAAATCTCAGGGTGAGAATGAAAAAATCGCTTTTCTGTGCTTACTGGAACAGTTTTCAGTATACTCCTTTACGTTCAGGTCCCGTTTAAGATTGCAATAGCACAATGGAGTACCAGAATATATACTACGACCTTGCGAAAACCTAGAATCTTCTCCCCGTTCCGTTTACAGTTTCCCTATTCGCTCATTCTGACCTGTAGATAGAAAACATTTGGACATCTTTTGCATACGGCTTGACAGATAAAAGTGATGGCATGTCTCAGGTGTGAATCTCTATGCTTGGTTAAGGTCGTCATTCTTGGCGTGGTAAAACGAATTACAGCCTTATAAGTTTATTACTTAATCTTAAGCACACAACGTATCAGATTTGTAAAACAGAATTTTTAAAACTTAATCCATTTTTTCCCGAAAATAATGCGTTATTTCATACTTGCACCTACCTCTATTTCATGAACGCAAAACAAGATTTTCCCTTCTCTGAATAGATATAATTAAAAAGTTTCTGGCCTTTTGGTTAATGTTCTTATATAGTACAGCACGCCAAACAAGACGTTTTTGTCCGCAGCGTTTAATAGCACAGGAAATGTCTTGGATATCTTGGATTTGGCCAGCATTGACCAACTTATTCCCTGATCTGAACTGAATTCTTTTCTAGTCAACAGTATTTTGCGCCCCAAGTCTATTCAACGAATAACATAAACAGCCTCCAATATGTGCTAAAGCACGCATTCAAATTTATATCTTCACATTTCATGAGATGGCCTATCCTCTGTGCCATGCACATGCGCTTGCGTAGGCCTTTGCGGTGGGCAGCGGATGTGGCGGTCGCGGCTGTGTGGTCGTGCTCCAAACATTGTTTTGCCACCCTCTGTGTGATGGACTCGCAAATGACCGACCAGGCATGAGGTGGACGTGCGATGGCAATGGCGGCATGTTAAAATCGGGTCCCATTTCCTGATGGAGGGCGCGATGGTTGTGTAGGTAGCAGGTGGTTGGCTATTGGAGGTGGTCACCGGGGTGGTAGTAGTAGTAGTAGTAGTAGTAAGGGAAATAGTGTCGGTGGTGATCGTCACTCTGAGGATGGTCACCGTCGTAGGG